GGAAAGAGGAAACCATGGAGGAAAATGAGATCCTCCCTACAAGTCCTTGTGTGCCCCCCACTTGTCTGTCTAATAGCTTTTCCTCCTCCCACCCACATGGATTAAAATATCTAAACAATGGGACCACCCAAAGTCTAAAGTATATTAAAATATGAGGCCACCCAAGACTAAAGTGTCTCTTTCTGCAAACCTATGAGAAGTCCCAGGTCTTGCAGGAAAATATTTTTAGTACATATGTTATGTATTGGTATACATATGTCTGAGCTTGAGTTTCAACCCCTATCTAAGCCTGGGGTGATTTCCCACAAGCGCTGCTCCGCGCTCACTCCTCCCTTTTGCCCCGATGGTACGTGTCAATTTCACACAAGCTGCTGCGCGCGGCCGAATTTTGCCCCGCAGCTTTGTGCGATTTTCCACCCAGCTTCGTGCGATTTTCCCCACGTCTACTCAATCCTGTTTTTTGAGGATTGAGTAGATGCGGGGAAATGCGACCGCATTTTGCCCCACAGCTTTGTGCGATTTTCCCCACGTCTACTCAATCCTGTTTTTTGAGGATTGAGTAGATGCGGGGAAATGCGACCGCATTTTGCCCCACAGCTTTGTGCGATTTTCCCCACGTCTACTCAATCCTGTTTTTTGAGGATTGAGTAGATGCGGGGGAAATCGCACGAACCTTGGTTGTTATGTTAGTGTTCTGATTGGTTCTTGACTCTCAAGAGGGCGTGGTTATACTAGCCCGGGTAGTTTAAAAGAGAGCCTGTTGCTCTCCTGTGTGTGTTCATTCTTGTCTTGTTCTAATAAAGCTGAATTGCTTGTTATTGAGCTACCTGAAGTCTTGTACATAACATATATTTTAAAAGAGACAATATTTTAAAGTTTTTTAAAAACTGAGTTTAAAAAAAAACCCAAATCAGTAACAGGAGCAAGAATAGGAAGAGAACAGGAGAAGGAGAAACCGCAGGGGCTGTAATGTGGGAAGGAGCGACAATGCAGGGAGAGAAAAAGGAGCAGGTGGGGTGAATGGCTGGGTGGGGGAGGAATTAGTGGACACTGGGTGAGTGGAGACAGAGGTAGAAAGATTGGGTAGGTGACTATAGGGGGAAGAACTGGGGGGGGGAGTCACAGAGTCAATGGGAGGAAGAAGGGCGGGGAAGAAGAGCTGGAGGAAGTCGAGGGGAAGTGGGGGAGGCAAGGGGTATTTTCTGGCTTTCCTAGGTCTTTATCTGCCCCATCGTTGTTTGTGTGTAGCCTTTTGTTTTTTATTTTTGCTGACCCATGAGGACTGAGCACAACAGTGTTGTCAAGTACACCGTTTTACTTTACACAATTAAAGCAACCGGCAAACAACTGCGGGTTTGAAAGAAAGCAAAAAGGAAAGATGCACACAGAGGTCCCACTGTGGAGAGGGCTGAACTTGCTCTCTGCTCATGGTGACCCAGGTAACATTTAATTATCAGATTTGCTGCACAGTCCAGGATGGGACTATGCAGACAAAGGGGCAGGATTATTTGTATGGTCCCATCCTGGGTTCTGTTCCTTGATCTCTAGAGAATTTGATGGAAAGTTGGGAAATTGCTTAGACCTAAATGGGTTTCCAGACCTTCCTGTTCTTACCCCTTAAGGATCTGGTGGTAGAAAGGGCCATTAAGTCAGAGCTGATTTATGGAGAGCCCATACGGTTTTCAAGGCAAGAGACATTCAGAGGTGGTTTGCCAAAGCCTACCTCCACGCCACAACCCTGCTATTCCTTGCAGGTCTCCCATCCAAATTCTAGTCATGGCCAACCCCTAACATCTATAGAACGTTAATTTCCTCCTTTTTATTCACTTTCAGATTTCAAAAGCCTTCCTGCCAGCCATGATGAAAAACAACCATGGGCACATTGTCACCGTGGCATCTGCTGTTGGTCACATAGTGGCACCTTTTATTGTGCCTTATTGGTATGTATGGCAGAGATTTTTCTTATGAGGAGAAAGGAGCATAAAAATTATAGCTTTATTGTAGTTTCATAAAGTACAACGTCCTTCACACAGCTGCCAGCAATAAATGAGGCACGGAACGTAATCAGCCTGATTAAGGGCTGAGCTCCAACACCCCCCACATACGGCAAGCCAAAAGGGCCTCAAATAGGCAAAATCTACAGCTGCTTGTATACATGCCTTCTCTGTTGTGGTTTACTCGAATGATTTACCTGAGGAGATCAGGACAGCTCCCGCTACTGTGTGATTTTGCGTCCTTTAACGTGTCATGTGGACACCTATTATGCTTTGCTTCAGTTCTGTTTTTTTTAGATTTCTGGTTGGTTCGACAACCCAGATCCTATTTCATTGTTTATTGAACATCTCATCCTGTTGATTCTTTTGACTCAGTCTGTGTAATCTGCCTGGAGTCCCAGTGAGAAAAGCGGACTAAAAGTAATGTGAATTAATTTCATATATGGGCCTCTGGCCAAAAGTGCTGAGCCAACAGCTGCTTCTGTAAATACATGCTTGTCTCTGTATGGGGTAATGTAGGACTTAGTTACTAGAAATGGAGAAGATTATGCAAACAGTCATGTCTGAAATTTCTCATAGCTCAAGCAAATTTGCTGCTGTTGGCTTTCACAGAGCTCTGACGCAGGAACTGATTGCTCTGAAAAAGAACGGGGTTCAAACTTCTTGTGTCTGTCCCATGTTTATAAATAGCGATTTTGTCAAAAATCCATCTTCAAGGTAATGTATATGGAAGGTAGGATATCAGTCCTTTAAAACCTCTTGCTTAAAAATGTCGGCCCCACCCTCTCCAGCCTGTATTTAGAATCTTGCCAAATCACAATTTGACAAAACTCTGTTTTAGAGTGCGCGATGGCCTGCCTGGACTAAATATGTCAAAACTCTGCTCTGCTTTTCCAGTTAATACATGTCCTTTTGTCTAAGAATAGAACAATTTTGTAAATCAGCTGCCCTTTTGTATTTACTGTCTTTATAAATGTCTTAACAGTTTAGCATATATGAATTGGCGCACTAGTTAAACACACCACAAGAATACCACCCAAATAGTTTTGAGTGACCCTGCCATCTTTTCCATAACATTTAGAAAAAGTACCTTGTGTCTCCATACTCTTACACCCCTGGATTTTCCTGGGGGCTGCTGCCAAGGTACGGAGACTCACACATTTCTGCTGGACAATTTGCACAATAGATGCTTTTAAATACCACTGTTGCCCCCGGAAGGCTTGTTTTGGCAGCTTTCCCATGACAAATATAAGGTGCATGCTGGCTCCTACACCAGTACGAGCCACTTGACATAGCTGATAATGTCTTGAAATGTGTCATGCACTCTTCCGCAGAGGTTTTTGGCTCTCCCCTCTCTGTCTGTGGCTGGACTTTGATGATCCTTATTCCTTGTCGATGGTTTCAGATTAGGTTCAGATTTATGTTTAAGCAACAAGCTTTCTTGAGCACAGGCCCGGGTTAGCTGCAGTGGAAGAGTTCAAGGAAGGAGGTGGCAAAGAGGATCTTTCCCTTTCCCCAAGCAGCCTGATGTTTGTCCAGAAATTCCTCTCTGTGGTGGTAAGAGGGAATCAGGCGAAACCACCTCATCCTCCTCCTCCTCCTCTCTCTGCTGATGTAAACCATGAGTGGAAAAGGGAGAAAGGCAGTATTACCTGTTGTGCTGTAGTCACCGCTGTGCTCCATCCCCTGATACATTTTGCCTGCAACGGTCTCTCGGTTCTAAGACAGGCATATTAGCACACTGCTTAAGGGAAAGGGCAGGCAAAGAATGATTGCTTTTGCCACCCTGTTCTATGAATGCTTCTACTGCACCCAACCCCATCTCTTTGATCATTTTCCAGTACCTAACCATGGTCCTGATCTCTCCCTCAAGTGCTTCTTCTTGCAAAAAAGGGCCATTACCTCTCCCCCTTCTTTACACATGATCTACAAACATGCCTATACCTAGATTGTAGCTGTTGTACTTTGTTTCTTCAGACTGATGCCACCTTTGGAGCCGGAACAAGTAGCAAAGCAAGTAATGGAAGGGATACTAGCCAACCAGAGAATGATTTTTATTCCGCCATTCCTGAAAGTCAGTGTAATGCTAGATAGGTAAGTGTGCTGAACAATAAAATCCAACAATAAAAATCCAAATGTTTTTTCTGCTTTTAATGATTTAGGTCTACATTGGATTTAGTGGGTTCCCTGTTGTTTTGGGACGCTTGTTCCAGATAGCACAAAAGGACTAGACTAATGTGATCTCTTCATGTTCCCTCTAGGCTTCTTCCTGCTCGTGCAATTTCAGCTTTGTGGAGGCTGAATGACCTTAAATTTGATGTCGCTGTTGCATATAAGGACAAGGAAAACTAAGGAAACAAATTATGTCCACGTGATTTCATTCCACTTTTAACTCCTTGAAGTTTTAATTCTGATAAACTGTACATTCCTAATGAAAGTTACTTCAGTCTAAACCCTTTTCATTTCAAAGGGATTGTTTTAGAACAACTGCATGAGGTTGCATTAACGCCATGGCATCATGTGTCTGCATAAATGGAATGGAAACCTTTCCTGTTATTAAAATACTTCCCTCTTATTTAAGAACTGCTCTGTTCCAAACACATGAATAGTTTCATATCTCATATCAATGAGAAATGATGGTATTCCTATTTCCAAAATGAACAAACGTATCACTTTGATTGCTTAGAAAAATATAAGTTATGATGGGCAAGTAGAGAGCATTTAAAACTTTCTGTAGAGAAATTCTACAATTCTTATCATGAAATAAAGTGTTTAAATCCAATATGTAAAACTGTTTTTCTATATTATATGATGAAGGGGATGTACTTCAGAAATCAGACTATACGACACAGTTGCCTTGGGTAATCCTTTTGTCTTTTGGAAATCTACAGTCCTTTGAAACTTACTAAGGTGATGTTCAGTAAGATAGGCGGTAAATTCTCTTTCTCTCATTTGCTAAGTGTGTCTTGAAATAATCCTAGAGGTGTACCTGTGTTAATCCACAGCAGCAAAAATTAGGGAGACCCGACACATCTTAGTTATTAAAAGAACCTTTTTGGTCCTTGTTAGGCATCTGCCTTGTCCAGATGTTGAGGTTATGAAGGAAAGGTTTAAGCTGCAGGGTCAAAGGGCCATGAAACACAAGAAGTATAGGGTAACATGTAATTATATAAAATTCACATGTAATCTGGAAAGGCATGCAGACATCATTCACAGTAGCAGTAATTGATGATTTAGTGGTTAAGGACCCTGCCACGTGCATCTGATAATGTGGACTCTAGTTCACAGGAGTTTATGCCAGAAGAATATGAAAAACATGGTTGCACTTACCTGTAACTGATGTTCATCTCCATGTCTTCTGTGAAGGCTCACATGGGACTGCCTAGAGGCAGGCCTGCCTAGGCAGTCCCACGTGTGACTGCACAGAAGACACGAAGAGGAACTGTTAGTTTTCAAGTGCCACAACGTTACTGTTTATTTTTTGTCTTGAAATGTATTTTTAAAACATGGTTCAATAGCAAAAATGTTATGGTTTAGAGATCTTGTTTTGCTCCTCTGAACCATGAAAATCAAGCATATGCCACTGACTTCCGCACTCTCTCTAGACAAACTGCTTAGCTAACCCCCCAAAAGATGAGTAGTTCTGGAATAACATCAACTGAACTGCATCCAGCATTATTTACTCTTTGGATAGGTAGCTTTGGGGACAGTGGGAGGGAAAATGCCCATAGCTGCTTCCACAAAAGGGTCCCCCCCCCAGCAGTCATTTTGCCAGCTGCTCAATTCGCACTGGCAACAGAGGTTTCACATGGCAAAGGACCATTTTTTAAAGCTTTGTCAGCTATGGTTTCACTTCCACATCATATGTGGATTGCACCGTTTCCCCTGTACTGTTATCATCTTACTGTCATGATTCTCACTTTAAAACAACCATTTTTGGTGCATCTGTAGCACTGCTCAAGAATTACATGATACTACATCTTTTTATGTGTTTGCATAGTCTGCTTCAGAATAATGCAATACTTGACTCCTTTGGTACTGCTAATTACTGGAAAGTGTTGGGTCACATTGTGGCTATCTACCATTGAAACTGCTTGGGGGAAGGAGAGAGAGAGACAGGAGAAAGGAACCTTTCACATGCTGAGACAGAAGAGAAATACACTGGGCCACTTTGATTGCTGTAAACCAATAACAGCCTTATGATGTTGCCCAGCCCCACCCCAAATCTAATTTTTGTTTCTGTCAGCAAGAACACCAAGGCAGCTCACTGTGAAAGCACGGAGGCATTTCTTTTACACAAGGCATACATTCCCTTCCAGACACGTGAAAAAGATTGCCCAAACAACATGTGCCAGCATAAGATAGTGGTTAAGAGAGGCATACTCTAATCGAGAGAACCAGGTTTATTTATTTATTTATTTATCCCACTTTTACCCCGCCCTCCTTGCATGTGGGCTCAGGGCGGCTTTGTTTGGGTTTGATTCCCTAGTACTGCATGTGAAGCCAGCTGGGTAACCTTCGGCCAGTCACTGTTCCCTCAGCACTCTCTCTAGGGCTGCCAAATGTGGACGGGGGGCGGGGAATCCCCTGCTTTGAAGCTCCAATTTCCGACGTGGCGGAATCGGGGCCCGGGGGAACCCCGCCCCCGGCGTGTGCGTCACTAGTAAGTGACGTGGGCACGCCGTGCACACTGGGGGTGGGGCCACGGCCATACAAGGGAAAACTCTATGGTTTCACTTCTGGGTGACGTGCACGCGGCACATGCTTTGCGCGCGCGCACAGCCCCAACGCCGGCCGGGAGCCCCCCGTTCCTGGCGAAGACAGATTTGGCAACCCTAACTCTCTCAGCCCCACCTACCTCACAAGGGGCCGGTTGTGGGAAGGGGAAGGGAAGGTGATTGTAAACTGCTCTGAGGGTCCTTAAGGTAGAGAAAAACAGGGTATAAAACCCTACTCCTCTTCTTCAATACCATGCTGGGAAAGACTGATTCTTTTCCGGTTTTAAAAAAGTGGAGTTTTTAAATGAAAAAATCAGGCTGCTCAGTTTGAATAGGAATGGGGTCAATGCTGTGTGTGTGTGGGGAAAGGTACACAACCAGAATTACTGAAATTGAGAAAAACCTTCATGTAGAATCTGCCCATGTTTGTGGGCATTTATATGTCTAAGCAGTAGTCGCTACCTGATTGAAGTTTTTAAAAAATGAAAGGAGAGCTTAATTAGTTCAGTAGGGAAGGCACTGAAACTTGCTCTTTGCTTATACAGCATGTTGGTATGCCTCAGTTACAGCCGACTTCATGGGAGGGATTTCCCGAATTCACTAGGAACAATGTAGTGTGTTTAGAAGAGTGCAACTGTTTAGGATTGTATTACAAAATACTTTGGACCGAGCACATTCTTACCACAAAGAGCCCTTTAGCTAGAGTGGAATGTGGGCATGTAAAACTAGCTCCTGCAATGGTTGGATAGTACAAAGTCTCTGGATTGTCCAGATCTGGCATAAATACTAAAGAGTGCAGAGTTCTGCCTTTATCAACAGAGCAGTATTTCTTGTTCACTGTAGTTCAAGCCAGTGAGTTACAGGTCGTGATTTGAGTACAATGACCTATAGCCCTGGTTTGCAACATTGATCAAGCAAGGTGAAATGGGGCCTTTTAAGTTCTGCTGTCCCCTCAAGTGAGCAGGCACATGGACATGAGGGTAGACTAAAATAAACCAACTGATGAAATGCAGGGGTCATTTCCTGCAGGAGCGCACAGGAGCAGAGCTCTGGCATTAAAGAGCCCAGGGGGTAGGTACATGCAACAAGCCCCGCCCCCTGCTCCCAGCAGCCCAGGGCCACGAGGAGCAAGAAGCAGCCCTCCTTCTTTCCTTCCCTCCTTCTTTCCCTTTCCCTCCTTATTTCCTTCTCTCCCTCTTTCTTTCCCTCTTTACCTCCTTCTTTCCTTCTCTTTCTTTCTCTCCTTCCTTCCTGCACAGATCTGTGCATTCCCTCCCCCCAGCTAGCAATCCAAAACAGTCCAGTGGCACCTTTAAGGCCAAGGTTTATTCAGGTACAAGCTCTCCCTTCTCTGTGAGGGCAGATCTGCACGTCCCCCCCCCAAGCTAGCAATCCAAAACAGTCCAGTGGCACCTTTAAGGCCAAGGTTTATTCAGGTACAAGCACCCCCTTCTCTGTGAGGGCAGATCTGCACGTCCCCACCCCCAAAGCTAGCAATCCAAAACAGTCCAGTGGAGCCTGAGCAGTGGGTGTTGCCTTCTGACACACTTCCGGTGATGTCAGGGTGTGTGGCATATGCAAATAAGTTATGCTAATGAGTTATGCTAATGAGCCCCTGCACCTCTTTTCCTATGAAATGACCCCTGATGAAATGTATGGATTTGCTTGGAGTCTTTACTAAGATCTACAGTGACAAAATATTTTTGTGCATTCATAGCTTAAATGTCCTGTTCATACAAATACAGCTAGGGGGACACAAGGTGAGACTGGATAACAGTCTACAGCAATGTCATAACGTGCACAAAATTCTTGAATATGTAAAGCTCAACCTTTCCAGAGAAATGGAAGCGTTCAGGAAATTAAAAATAGCCTATGAGGAATTGCAGAGGGAGGGGAAATCCCATTTATCCCCCCCTTGTTGCAGCCACTTCCACCCCCCAACTTGCCACTGCACTGCACCACTCTTGCTTCCTTTTCTTTCCTTTCCCTCCCCTGCCCTCCCACCATCTGCCCATTCACTTGGTTTCTTTCCCCAAGCTCACCTAGGCTTGCATGCTGTCTCCCTCCCCCAGCTTCCTGCTCTTCCTTGCCCCACCCACCCACTTTAGCTTCCCTCTCCATTCCTGCCTACCTGTTTCCATTGGAATGACTTTGGGGGGGGGGGCGGGCAGGCTGGAGCCGGTTTCCCCTCCACAACCAACCACTATGTTTTTGCATGGCATTAGAGTTGCTACAGCAATTGAACTTTGGTATATTTTTCCTGTGGCATCTATGCATGTGCACATTTTAATCTTCTTAACAAATAGGACTTTTGTGCAAACCTGAGTTTTCCCTTGGGTTTGCAGAAGTGCAAACTGCAACAGGGGCTGGACCCATTTTGCAGATGTTTTGATCCACATCAGGGCCAGCCCATGTCTATTGGGTATAAGGATGGCCACAATTCAATGGAGTTAAAATGGCTCCGTACACTATTGAGGTCTGGTGCATCATTACATTGGCATTTTTAATGTTTTTTTTGAAATGAAACGTGCATGGGATTCCTTCTGCATGTTATTTTGCTTTAGGCCAGGTATTTAAAAAGCCATGTTACGAAACCTCATCACATACCACACGCAATTATTAGACCATTTCATC